ACTTATTGTGTTTCTGTGAATACGTTTGTACAGCGTTTCCATAATTATGTTTTAGGAGACTTCCTAAGATCCTTAAGGCTGTGCCTTAGGCGGTGTAAAGACCTTAGGTAGTGTAAAATGAAGGTTCTCACTATATTGCCCCAACTGTTTCAATTTAACTCTGCTGAGTGCCGGCCTAATGGTCAATATTGTTAAAGGGTGCTGAGACTCACAGAATACCTTAATGAAAAAGGCACTATTTTCAAGTTCACTCTCTCTAGGACGTTTGTCTCTTGTTTATCGCGTGTTTTATTACGTAAAGGACGTCGCATTCTAGTCAACCAAGAGCGCTCCAAAAATTACACTCCGAAGAGAATACCTTTCATTGAATTCTAACGTCACGTATCACGTGTCACGTAACAAATTAAATGGAAATTATTTAAAATAATGCAAACTTGAACATTTTTATTAGCTAATAATAAAAAGTTTACGTTTCACCTCTCTACTAAAAAGTCGCAATTTTTGCAATACTTTTTCTTTAAATGTAGCCGGCTTCTCAGAACCACTCAAGGAAGTAATACCAGAGAGACAGGAATTCATATCGTTCAGTTCCCATTTCTCTAGAAATTTCCACTCCTCGCTTGCACCAATAACTGCCTTTGCGAGCACATTTATGTGTGGGCTAAAGATTTAATTACACAGCTGGTTTATTAAATGGCATGTGTCAGTAACAAGCGTTTACAAAGGAGTCGTACTAGTCACATTGGCGAGGGAAATGTGAATTCATGAAAAGCATAATATTGTACTGAATTTAAAATATTTTAAGATATTTTTTTGTATTATTACGCAAAACACCTGACCTCATTTTTAGAAAACATATATTCCGATTCTCACTCAACTTCATCGAAAGAGCATATTGCTGCATTCCCTGTCCTGCGCCACCATTAGAACGCTTCCCGCCCTTCCAGTTCTGGCGGAAGCGAAGCCTACAGCTCCCGAGACGCTGCGTTCTCCCGACGCTTCTGCTAGGCTGCGCACTCGTGATTGCTTGTTTCGTGTTTTCGGGCGCGACAAGTGCTAAGATAATTAGTCCCGTAAGTGTACTGCGTGCTACTTTTCTCAGGAGGTGGTGGTGATCTTCTCCTGCTCGATGGCGAGATCTGGCGCCGACCAACGGCAGTCGGCTAGCGGGGTTTCCACCTCCAGGTATCTCCCATCCTCGGGACACCGCCCAACAAATAATTCTTTGAAAATATTCCCGTTCAGAAATTAATTTCACTCCCAATACATTTTTCCTGCATGGCATGACCTTATTGTGCTCACCCGTTCCATCATTTGTATACGAGAGAAGTGGAAATGGCGAAAAACCTTCGAAAACTATGATTAAAATGTGACCACTCCTCCTTGTTCATTTTATTTAACTCTCCATACGTCCCGGCCAGAAAACAAACACATACTATACTAGATATGTCAATAGTTTCTAAGTTGTGGCGGATGCTATTGTGAAATTTCCCACCGAACCTCCTATCACTGTCAATACTCACATACCTGGAGACAAGTCGGGAGCTTAGGGCTTGTCCCGGTTGGGTCGATGCCCCGCTGGTGAGAGATACCTGGTGGGGAAAACCTCGCTAACCGATGGTAGGTTGGCTCCGGATATCCCCATCCAGCGGGGAAATCCCACTGCCACCTCCCGAGGAATAACATGCACTACATTTATGGAACTAATGACCTGAGCTTTTGAAATCTACGACGGTAGGTTGGCGCCGGGATCACTAACCATCAATCAATCGCATCACTTTAGAGAAAATCATCAATCCGAAATGTGTGTGTGTGTGACAGATGCAGCTCGAGCGACACGAGTTAAAATAATAAGAACCTTATTTCAACGCGCCCTGGACGGGGTTTCGGTAGTGAAGCGCCGGCCGCATCCTCCCCCGCTCTTTCCGGAGGCTAGCGGCGGGGCGGAATGGGGGCGAAGGGGGCGATCGGGCGGTGCGCCAGCGCCCATCGCGGGCGCCGCAGCGAAGGAGGGGGAAGCGCGAACGAACCGGCTCGCACGCCTCGACGCGCCCGCCCCGCCCCGCCCCGCCCCGCCCCCGCCCGCGCCCGTCGCCAGATATTGGATTCGGATGGCGCCGAGGAGGGCGCCGGCGGCGGGGGCGGAGGTTAGGCGACGCCCGCGGTTCCCACCTGGGCGCCCCGCGCGATCGAACGGAGGCGGCCGCTAACGGAATCGAACGACAGACGCTCACACGCCCGCCCGCCTCCGTCGGCGCTTCGGGCGTGTGGTGTGTGGGGGGGGGCGTGCGCCGACACGCGGGAGGCAGATGACCCCCGCGGGCGGCCCCGCAAGCGCCCTCACGTCAGCCCGCTTGCGGCCCGCCCACGCTCAGCGGAGGGGGCATCACACTGATGTGTTAAATATTAAACACGTTTGTTATTATAGTGTATGTATTATGTTTTCACCCTCAGTGGCTTGTTGGTTAGCGTGCTCGTTTCTCATGGCGCAACCTCGGGGTCGATTCCCGACCGGAGCAAAGTAGTAACGTCTAATTCCTTTGAAATGTCCCAGTATCTATAGTTGTGTGACGATGAGAAAGGCCACCCTAAGGTTAAGAAGACCAGTATATACGGTGGAGGAATGTCTTTTTGCTAACCACACGAACCCCTTATCCCATGGCCCAGAGGCTGGCCCACCGCTGCGCTGGTCGGCCAAGGCCCGCAGCGGGCTGTCGAGCCAAAGGACATATATTATTCAATCTTTTTTTAAATAACTACATAATTCTAACATAATTAACTATTTGCATGAATTTTGCCAAATAAAGGTAGGTAACAAACGAAAACTCTCGGCCTTTTGGAGAGATATGGGCCCCATGCCCCTCGCTGCATCCGCTACTGCCTACACTCACATCACAAACTAATACTTTCATTTACATTCGCAATCAGTGTCATGTAATACGCTTCTTTTATTCCATTCGGTATTCTAAACCACAAAACATTGTTAAACAAAAATAAAGAATATCTGGTATTATAGTTAAAGGATCGAAACTGTTGCGAATAATTTATATCACTTATAATACTGGACACGAGACCTCACTCACAGATTGGTTTCGTGACCTGACAAAAAAGTGTTTCATCACTGAAAAGGAGGAACGTAAATAAACACCATGGGCAGGGAGCGGAATTACGAGGACAATTGCAAGAATAAATGCAAAAATTATAGTAATTAGACCAAAGGGAATTGAGTAAACAAAAATTAAGTTGGTAGATTTTATGAAACAAATGAACACAGCGGATATTAAACGAGGAAGGTTGGAGCTGCTGCTCACGCTTGAACCGTGAGCAGTGTATTGTAGAGTCGTGCCACGCTCAAACCGCTGGATGTTCAACAAAGGGCGGAGTGATGACGCACTGGGACTTTCCGTGGACGTAGCGGGCCCAGAGCGACTTTGGGGAGGAGACAATGGGGGCTGCGGATAGAGCCGAAAGAGCCTATATAAAGGCCAGGAGAAGAAAGCCCCAGCCTTCTTGTGATAGTGGCGTCGGCGACAGGTGGAGCGCGTGTCTGTGCGTGTAGGTGCACTGGGGCGAGGGGCCGGCAATTCATCGTCGTGACTTGCGAGACGCGTAGATGGTCTCAAAGTAGAGCGGCTTCACACAGGGAACATCAGTGGTATGTTGCGATGTGGTAGCCGTTCTTAAATTATCTTTTCTTATAGTGGGTCTATTTATTTAGTTTATTGTGAGCAGGGTAGTTGTTACATTGAGACTACGGTATAGATTGTTATTAAATCTACTGTTTTACAAACCACTCTCGTCTGTGTTCGATTACACCCGTATGACGCCACAGGATCATACTGATTGACGTCGTTATAGAACCGAATTTCATGTCTAGTCTATTCTCAACGGATGAATGGCTGTTAAATACGGTTTTTCAAATGTGTTATTTTTGCATGATATAGAATTTAATTTGTCAGTAAGTTGGATCTTCAGCGGATGCTAAATGCAGTAGGAAGATCTATGAGGAAGTTGATGTCAATATACATACTAAATACGAAAAGCGAAGACCGGAATATGAAATTGCATAAAACAGATGAGAGAAGTACTCGAGAAGAAGTAGTCCATCGTAGTAAAATGCTAAATGGCCGCGAAGAATGGTTGATGTGTGCGCCGACGCCAAAATTAAGCAAGAGGATAAACAAAGAGTAAGGTAGTATCGCAGCACAAAGGAGACACAGAGTAAACAGAAAGAAAGTCCGCGAAAGGAAGAAAGCGATGCAGACGCACGCTGACGGCATATCCTCGTCGATTAACGTCCAAGCGAAGGCCGCGTCGTGACTTTAAACGTGTTAATCACATATATCAAAGACTTACAAATTAACGTCGACGTCTAAAGTGGTTGGGATGAGCTCCAGTCAGCGAGTTAATTTGATTTCGCGGGCGCAAATTACATTCTGCCGCCGTTTGCGAGGTGCCGCCCGCCCCGCCCCGCCCGCGCCGCCCGCCCCGCCCCGCCCCGCCCCCCGCGCCCGCCCCGCCCCCCGCCCCCCCGCCCGCCCCGCCCGCCCCGCCCCGCTCCCCCCCCCGCCCGCAGAGAGGTGGACCCGGGAGAGCCCGTGGGGGCGAACGCTGCGAAGAGAGGTCCAGGCTAGATGGATTTGTATTCTTTGCGATACGTGCACGCAAATGTAGGGCAGTCTCTGAACACTCCATGAAATTGTACGAAAAAATGAAGTTCACGGTCATGTATGCTTATTCCCAGAAACTAAAGGCGCATTTCACTATGGTTTTGAGCACTGTTTACAATATTTACTACATAATACCATGCTCTTTTTTATATCAATTAAATGGCAGTGTTTGTGCTTTAAACTTCCTTTTTAATAATCTTACATACTTTATAATTATATTTATAAAAAATTGTTTTAGAATGTTTGTCTGATTGATCGTGGTTATCTCTAAAATCACTGTTCCGCTTTGAATGAGGTTTTTTCTAAAAGAATGTCTGGCAATGCTACTTTTTAATTATTTTCTCTTCTACACAAAAAATTATTGTTTCTTCATAAAAATCTACAATTTTGATCCGATCTTAATTAACGGGTCCTTGAAAAAAGAGGAAAGACACTGTCTATGCGAGATTTTGTAAAAATTGTTCTTATTACCTATTTCTACTTTTCATTCTTAAATGTTTCTTCTTAATTACTAAGATACTTCATAAGAAGATAAATTATTGTAATCGTGTGCCGGAAAACGGCAAATTTTCGACAACAAAAAACTCACTACTGAATCCTGAAAACGAAGAAGTGGATAAATCTAGTTCCTAAATGTAGTAGAAAGAACTCTAAACGTTGTATAGTCTGATTCTGTTTTGTGGGTCCTTGATGCTGAAAAATCGATTGACAGCAATACGACTGTCTGTAGTGTCTGTCTGTCTGTCGGTCAGTCTGTCCGTCCGTCCGTCTGTCTCCGTCTGTGGTCAATGCTTGCGCGTAAACCCTTCAGCCGATTTTCTTCAACGAACGGATAGGTGGGGAGAGGAACCGAAAAGGCAAAGCGGAGGGAAGGGGAGGAGTTGGACGGAGAGAGGATGGGTGTGGAACGAGAATATGACACGCTTAGGGGTAGGGCTGGCGGGGAGCGAAGCAGAAGGGTGGGGTGCGGAGAGGTGCAAGCTGGAGAGTGACAAGGGGAGAGAAAAGCAGAGAGGGTGGCAAGAGTGATCGCGTGTAGAGAGACGCGCGGAACGGGGAGCAAAGGGTGGGGCGGGGGCGACGGGTGAAGGAGCGTGGCGGGCAGCGGTGGGGAAGGTGGGTGAAAGGGATGGGAGGCGCAGGCACGAGTGTAGAGTGAAGATGAAAAGAGGACGGGGGCGGAGGGGCGGAGAGGACAAGCGCTCGCCCGCACGCCTGTGCATCACCCCAGTTAACAGGGCGATGCTAATTTTATGATTACGACGCGAGGCGCCCCGCGCCAGGCCAACGACGCCCTGCGGCTCCACATCCCCCTCCCCCTCCACCTCCCTCTCCCCGACCCCCTACCGTTGGCGCTCCATCTTAGGAAGATCTGTGCAGACGCTCTGGGTGCGTATTCACGTGTTGGCGTATTGTTCAACAGCGCCAACATATTTCTCGTACACGTACGTATATCAGTATACAATATCCGAGTAACACTCTTGAATGTGCGGGGGTGTGCGATTCCGTCACTGGAGTCTACACCACTTCTCGTGCACCATTCAAGATATATGAGGAGTCATTCGACGCGTCTGGGTCTCCTGATGGGAAACTGATAATTTGTTTTCGAATCCCGCTAGAATATTTAAAGACATTTCTAAAAACCTGTTTTATTTTGGTTTGGCTGCTATCGCGGCTGCGATCTTAGTGATAATGTCAGGAATTAAACCAACTCCTCTTGTAGGTGGCGTTGATTAAAATCCTGTAACCGACAAATGTTTAGCAAAATACGCCATAATTGTCTTTCACGACGTCGGCAATACAGATGTTGACATCTTTAAGCGAACAATTGCCAAGTAACCTGAAGTAGGTTGAACTACCAAGTAAATCGCGCTGCAGATTGATTTGAATTCATATTAGAATTAACATACTTTTTAATATAAATATGCGACAACGCACGAACAGTATTGTCTCGGAACTTATTATACTATAAGAATTTCAAATTAATACGAAAAAACATAACTATGAGTAATCTTAGAGAATGAGTGAACGTTATGTTCGACTTCACACTTCTACGTTCTCACATCAGTGTTCAAATACTTCTTTTTAAAAGAATGCGAGCCATAACTTATGTTTATAAAAGTCAATTAACACCGTAATTACATAGACATATAAAGCAGTCACCTTTTAATGTTAGTATATTTGCATGCAACGCTAGGTTTGCAATACAAAACAATAAATAGAGTAATTGCTGAAGTAGAAGTAAACACAAATCGTAGAGCTTCAATCTCTTCAAAAATTAGGAGAGAAAAATATGAAAGTGTTAAGTATATTTGGGAAAGAATCAAATGTAGTTGTAAAATATGCTTCTTACAACTAAAATATTGAAGAGAGATTTTTTCTCCTAATGAACTATGTTCCGAAAAGTCAGATTTTGAAACATTAATGAAAAAAAATTTCGAAAATTTGAGTACTTTTCGCGTAATTTTCCGTGAAAATTGGGGGGGGGGTAAATGGGGAATTTCGTGCTGTTTTAGTACCACTACTTTACTAGTCGCTATACTTACGCAGTTAAGAAATAGTGTTTGATGTTGCGGGGGGAAAAAACGATAACTTATCGACAAACACTCTTATTTCCGAGGTCTAATAACGAAAAAAGGGGATAAATCTTGTCTCTCTATATAGTAAATCACATTCCCTAACATGTTGTGCAGTCAGAACTAATGTTTATGAGTCCTTGATATCGAAAATCGATTGACGATAAACATCAGTCCGTGGTTTCATTAAACATTTTTCAAATGATAGTTGAAGTGTAAGACAGAAACTGTGATGTTATAATATGGCATAACCATTCAGAATATCACGACAAAATATGTGCTGCTCCTCCATTTGTGCTGCACCCGTGCTGCACATCCATTTTCCATTTAATTCCTCTTAAACAGTATGTCAATATATACAAATACATCTTACCTGAACTCGCACTAATTATTTTTTCGAACTACACAGAGCAGAGCAAGATTGTCGCACCTCAACCCGCAGCATCTGCAGGTAGGAGCTACATCTGAAGCCATCCAAACTCGTGTGTACGTACCTGAAACAAAATGTCAACACTGATCAAATTTTTGTCTAAGTAACATTAATATTCAATACGAGAAATGTGCATTTTGAACAAATGTGCGTGTGCAATGTGCATACGAGAAATGTGCATGAAAATAAAGAACAGGGTTAGTAAACCTACTACATTGTTCATTAGATGGATCAACATATTCAAGTTTGCTGACCATGTTTTGGTTCTTCAGAGTATTACAAATGAATAATGTTTAATGCCTCAATAACGTATCTTCAATAATACTAGATATGATACAATAATCCACCATAGTTAATTATTTTATGATCTGGTTTTGCAATTACTACAATACTTATTTATTATTATATTTTTATTTCATTCAAGTTATACGTTAATGGGTTAATATATTTCGGATATAATTCTTATTTTATGAACAGCTGAATTTTTTGAAATGTTCTGATTCTTTGCTAACATATTTAAAATATGTCAGTCGTCGTTCGTTTTATGTACGAAAATGTCTACGACCTACAAAGCCGTATTTGGTATTGCAGGAACTACAAACCTCTAACGATTTTAGAATCTGCAGAACCAGTAATGGAACATTGAAGCGTAATTTTATACCAATGTGCAAATAGCTGATATAATGTAGCGCAGAAAATTCATTCACTAAAAGCCAAGCTATTCAAATTTATTAAAGGAAGGTTTTCGAAGTACATGCATTGTAGAAACTACATAAAGGATTTCATTTTGCGTTGACGTTTGGCCAATTGTCAACGTTTTGCAACATGTTTTTGGAAACAATTTTTTAACAATATTGTTATTGCATTAATATACACACAGAAATTGTCTCCTATCAGTTGCAAACATTATATATCTCGTGTTTAGTATACAATCTTAGTTGTGTCGTAGAACCTTTGCATTGCCTTCCCTCAAGAGAAAATTTGAGAGCTATTTTTTCTTTATCGCGCAAGGAAGAAAATTATTTCTTTCCCTTCTTTCTGGTATAAGAAGGTTCAACTGTTCTCCATAAAGATACAGAAAAATCCATATTTCGGTTTTATTAGTCCGCTCTTTCATAGCGTAGAAAGTTCCTGCTTTGTAAAAGAAGACATTCGTGCTTTTGAATTTCTCTGTACAATCAAACGTTTAGGTTTTAAAGAATATTCTGAAGGAATTTTACATAAACATGATATCATAAAAATCATAGGCCAAGCACATGAAGTGTAGTTGTTTAAGTTGAGAAAAAATACTTCGTTTGAATGATCGTGGCAGAAGCTAAAAAACACTATCAATACGTATGAAGAGTCACCTCAACACAGAAAACTCCAACACGAATAAAAAATCGATACCCTTTTGACACCTTCCTAAACATATTTGCGAACAATTGTTAACAGCAGGTGCAGATCGTAGCTTCCTACCCCTTCTTGTAGTCAGAGTTACTTTTAAGATTAGGAAATAATACTTGTAAGCCATCCGATGGATATGAAAAAGTGAATATGTAACTTAACTATCATGTCCAAATGAAAAATAAATATGAATATAAAAAAACGTATGATGAGCGTTCGTTCCTCTGAGGCAGAGACCAATTTCCAGATGCGAGATTCGTTCGTCGCTGACGCCGCACCCGGCCTCCGTTCCGCTTCTCGCGAGCCGTCATGGAAGAGAGAAACCGACTCCCAGAATTACTTTTCGCTCCGTCCTTTCATTTGCAAAGATATTGATTTTATTAGAGCAATTTATACCCAGAAAATTCGTCGAGACCAACGAGGAATATCATCGCATTTTTTTCTTTATAAGTTCAAAAGTATATTGCTACATATTTGCGAGCATTCCGAGCATACTCCGAAAGCAAGAAACCGATAACACCGAAATGAAGTTTCCAGTTCCCGCCGGAAGGAACGTGACGAAATCGGGAAATTCAATTAATGTGATGGACGTAAGAGCTGGCCGGGGAGCTGTCCGGCGTCGAACGGCGGCGCGAGACAGCTCTCCGCGTTCCGCCTCCTCAAAACATACTCACGCAGTGGTTCACAACCGAAGAAAGGGAGCAAAACGGGATAGTATATTTCATATAGCACGTAGTACTTAATGTGAAGTACTCTCATTTGGTTTCAGTTTGAGCTGAATGAACGTATTTTGGATATTTTTAAAATCTAAATTAATATAAAAATCCTTGTTTGAGATACCAGATAATTAATATATTTAAAAAAAATGAAATGAACATATATTTTGTAATAATCAAATTCAAATATGTTCGAAAAATGCGTTTTCAATGATATAATAATGTAAAAAGATGAAGGAGCGGACTACGATGGCCAAGATGGATAAGATCATGTACCAACTCAGTACTTTGGTCCGAAAAATCGTGGGTTCGAGTCCCGCTTTGGAAAAGGTTGTATGTCCCTTGTGTCTCATGTATGTTTTGCGCGGAGGGCCTTCCGTTCTGTTGACCCCAGATCATAGTGTGTGGTCGAATATGCATCTCATCAGGACATAACGGGGTAACTGGCTGTTGACTGGATGAAAGCACTAGGGAAAAATATGTAAAAGTGTGACGTGCCTGAAAGGCAATAAAATAAGCATTGCTGGATCTTCGGCGGAAACCATTATCACCGAGCCTGCGTCTGTAGCGAGTTCGTGTGACGTATTTTGAGGTTCAGCGCGTTAAACGGCAGTTTCGCCTGCGGCGTTTGCCCGCCAGGCGCCGCACCTCCCACTGCGCTGTGCGCGGCGCTGGCGTCAAAGCGCGAGCACCTTGGCTGGCGACAGGGCGGGGGCGGGGGCGGGGGCGCAGGCCCGACAGTTGCCCGAAATTACATTCCTCTTCTTCGCGCGACGAGACGGCGAGGCGGCGCCGACGGCGCATTCCTGGGCATTTACCAACTCCGAAAGACTAAGCACTTGGCCTCCACGCCAATTACCGCGCACCGGCACTTGCGCACCCCGCCCTCCTTGAGGCCCCTCTCAGGCCGTTAGGAAGCCTCGCCCAGCGCCCCTCCGCGCTGTCGACTCAGTCACCAGTTCCCTTCGCCGATTGAGCGAGTGGTTTTTAGGGATTCCAGGCACGTAAACCGCTAACGTCAGTAGTCCCGTAAGTGTTGAGCATGTTTTTCCCCTGGGAGGTGGCGTTGGTCTTCCCCGCTGAAGCAGTATCTTAACAAAGGGGCAACGGATCGTGCGCAATTTTTTTCTTACTCTTCCTTGTTCTATTCTTTCCGTTACACACTTATACTAACATGCACTACACTACTACATAAGCCGGGAGAGCGGTCGGGAGCTTAGAGCTCGTCCCGGCTGGATAGATGCGGCGTCGACCAACCGACGGCTAGCGGGATTCTCCCCAACCAGGCAACTCCCTCCAGCAGGCACAGCCCCAGCGAGCCATGTCATACAATGAATACAATTACTCCTCAACGTAAGCCTAAATTGACAAGAGAGGCTTCGTATACTTTTATATATTCGTTCTCGTGTAATATCTCATCATTGAATCATTGAACTATAGTTAATAAGGTGTTGAAAGCTCTATTTGAAATAATAATAATAATGATAATAATAATAATAATAATAATAATAATAAATGTAAACTAGTGGATTATACTAATTACGGATGCTGCAATTGTTATAGCTCCTCCAATAGGTCATGGACTAACATTCACCAAGTGAAATGGGTGATTCCATGTGTTAACATAATTTACTTCTCTTGAATATTATGTAGTTAATACACCAAATGCATATGATTGAATTAGAGAAACTGCTAGGTAGAGAATGAATAGTATAATTTGTTATAAAATAAGAATTTTAAATAAGATGGTTAAACGTATCATTATAGGTCCTGAATTTCCTAGTAGTCAATAAGAGGTTACATTGGCCACGCTGTCCCTCTGATATCCCTAAGCCGCCATCTCTGCCGTCCTCTTCCCCATCAGCCTCCCTTCCTCCCTCTGCAGTAGATGCTCCTTCCCACACAACCCTCTTTTCCTGCCAAGCGATCTCCTTCTCCATGCATTCTAGCATTCTTGCCAAACATCGTGTCATCCCAGCCGCGCCGATCCACCAACAGATTCATGCTACGCCATCCCAGTAATGCCATACTCTCACCTCGGCCTCACTGACTCCCTGATATGCCCAACCCGCCCCCCCCCCCCCATTCAAGCTCGGCGGATAATATGGGGATGGTGGGTGGCTATACCCACACGACAAATTCTGAGTGAAAAATACTCACTCGGGATTTGGGGCGAGAATATTCCATAAGCCTCAAATTTCAGAAATGAACGAAATTTCTCGGTATTGCGTCGTCTTAAAACGTGTATGCCATCAATTATGTTGCAAGATTGGCTGAACACTAATGTCATTTAGCAACTTTAAAAGCGACATGATCGACGAAATCGAATTGCAAAAATTGTTAAATGAGTATATATAAAAACTGCAAAATTTACGACAATTACCTGACAAACATGACAATTTGAAAAATTCTGTTCTGTATTTTTCCCTTCGTGCACATTTTTGTTGGGACGTGGCGGCAGGGGACCTCCATCCGGGTCAAACTACCCACTCGCCGACCCTGCCCCCCCCCCCATCCGCTCCCAGCCTCCCTACCACGCTCTGCCGCAGGAGCTCCGGCCGCCCGCCCTCTTTCTCCGACTGGCGAGCGTGGGAGGGCGGAGGAGGGGCGAGGCGCCGGTGGCGCATTCCCGATGTCTCCGGCTGTGATTTACGGTCGCTGAATCGAAGCGGCGGCGGCGGCGGCTGCAAACAAGAAAATTACACGCGCCGCGCCGCGCCGCGCCGCCTCGCTGCCCCTGCGCGCGGGGCGTTTGCGCCTCTCCGGATACTTCGTTATGTTTCCTCCCTGCTCTGCAGTGCGAGGAGGAAAAATGAGAATCAGCTCAACAATACGATCTCGAATACGCGGTCGTAAAATCCGCGTTTAAGGTTCTTTTGAGCCGCAAATTCGCACACACTAGTGATGCGACATCCTCAACGAAACGTCCATGTTGTCAAGCATCGATATTCAAAATTAAAACATTGAATTAGGAATACATAGACCAAAACCCTTCGATGGTTTCAAACATCGATGTTGTACAGCTGGTTTAGTAACCTCTAATATTAGATTCGTGCGCAACAAAATTTAGTTTAACAGCAGCGCTGTATATTAATTTATTATTAAAACTTAAAAGAAAACAAAGATTAACAACGCTTCTCCGTGTGCTAAATACGAGAAAAGACGAAGGAAATACCACGCTTTTAGGATCATTGCGGGCGACGGATAATCTGCTCGATGAAAGTAGTGCAAACCCCGTTTGAGTGCTTCGAACATCTAAACCGTCCGTTGTACCATCAGTTTAATTGGCCATATTTTAACTTGTACAAATTTGGGATAGTAGGGATTTTTCCATCCACGAATACAAATACGTGAAAAATGGATAAAAAAAATATCAGTTTTTAAAAACATCTACTTCAATACATCGATGTTCAAAACATCAGTGTTGTTATAGAAACACGTAATTTTGCGTGAAAATATGAGCGAGAAAGTACTTGCTTTTTTTAGCATCGCTAGTTCAAAACAAGCATGAGTAATCGTTGAGAAATTGCAGGAAGAGGAAGAAAAGTTTCCATATGACGCGCATTCCCTCTAGTCCTTGAAAGAGGAAAAAAGATTGCTCTGAGGCCGTGCGGGACAAATACTGGTGGCGCAGGACGGACTGGAACGAAGTGGGACGGTAAGGGAAGGAACGGGACGGGACGATTCCTGTCAGAACTGGAGAGGCGAGATGGGTGGTGACGACATAAGCATAGACTAGAAAAACGGTCGGAGATGACATGAATGAAGATGAGACGGGCAGAGACGCAAAGGGCAGAGGCGCAAAGGGCAGAGACGCAAAGGGCAGAGGCGCAAAGGGCAGAGATGCGAAAGGCAGAGACGCAAAGGGCAGAGACGCAAAGGGCAGTGACGCAAAGGGCAGAGGCGCAACGGGCAGAGGCGCAACGCGCAGAGGCGCAAAGGGCAGAGGCACAAAGGGCAGAAATGGACGAGATTGGCGAAGACCAGACGTTTGGCTGGCGGGAAGTTCTCTCTTCTAAAGTATTACCTCCCAGCGGGCATAGCCCGCACAGGGACAAGCTATAATCTCACGACTGGTCTTTTGAATTGTACGGTCGTGTCGTACCGATCCGAGCAGCCAGCCAGTAGAATTCTGAGGGCCAAAGACGAAAATCACTGCCATCTTCCGTAATAAAAACATTCACTACACTTTCTGGACAAATAACCGTAGCCATTGGATCCAAAAATGCAAACTGGCTAAATTTGCCTAGCTATGTATCTAGTGTCGGAAATCCGTTACCGTCGGGTCTCTATTCAAACCTCAGCCAGTGGCCTGGGATAAGATGGTTGTTTAGTAGAGGTAGAGGCAAGTAGAGTGATCCGAAATGCTCCTATCACGCACTTTTACTTTTCCAGGGAGAATTTACCCTTAGGCTATGGCCTCTGTCCACACATCCGGGAGTGGCACAAGTACGCCTTTGGGCAGGTATCTGGATCCCCCAGAATGCAGTCTGCCCTCAGGCACCCTCCCCATTCAATGCCTGAGTTGGGCCGTCCTCCCAGCTCAGAGCTACTAGCTATCCTCCGAGTCCAAAGAATGCGCTACTCACACGCGCTGGAACAAGTCCCACACCTCTGCCCGCAGCGCCGGGCCCCTACCACGACGAAGCCAAGAGCCCATCAGGGGCCACCCGAACTAAGGTCCGGGCGACTTTCCCGTCCCTTTCCCGTCTCCTCACTCGTGACTTGTGGGCAGGGCGCGATGGGGTGATGTGGGGATGTGTGTGCGGCTTGACAAGGGGATGAACAGGAAGGGGCTCGGGGTGGTTTCCACGGAGCGGCCGGCAGCGATCGCATGTGCCACTGCCTCAGCCAGCGTGCACCTCAGGGAGCCCACCCTGCGCGCCACAACGCGCCGGCGCAACAAAAAATCGCCCGCCCGCCCGCGCCGCGCCGCGCCGCGCCGCCCCGCGCCTTGCCCATCCGAAAACTATAAATATTCATACGCAACGCCATCATTTATATGCATAGAAATTCGAATTAGGAATACAACGCGCCATGATTCTTAACGAGCGCAGCCAAATTAACGCGGGTTTACAGGGAATTTAAATGGCATCGTTCTCGCCATCTCCAGAGGAGAAAAAAAATTCAGTCCGCTAACACCTGGATTTCCATTTGCGAGCTGTCCGCACCCGATGTGCCACGGATAAAAGTTCTTCTAGAATTTGAGTGAGTGAATGCGCCTTTCTCCCGCTCTTTTCATTCATTGAAGCACATCGTAGTCAGGCCTGTGCGGAGTTTAGTCAAAGTGATTTATTGGATTCAATTCGTTTGACGTGCGTTAGTCAGAACCGGAAGGGAGTGATGTGTTTCTGCCATGAAATGTAATACTAAGTGTTGTGTACGGTTTTTTGAAGCTATGAGGAATTATAAAATGTTAGTTGTGTTTTTGTGTACTTCCAAATGAAAAGAATCCGTTTTCCATCACTGGCAGAATGTTTCGTTCAAATATTCAAATACTTCCCACTTGGTAACCAAACCCAATTTATTTACGCAACACTATTGAATCATACCTACGTGTTACCAAGATACACAAACCAGCTCAGCCGTTCTGTGAGAGGGCATTGCCATTGTGTTTTCCGCGACTCAGAAGGAGGTCATTTCGGTACGAGCGTCTATCGGTGGCGGATTTTCGTAACTAGCTAATTTCCAATACAAGAAGGAGCCCGAATTCAATCCCTGTCTTGAGGAGAATTCTGGCGGCTTGCAGCTCTGACCGTCGGTTTTCCTGGTTTTATACGAAGAATGACAGGCTAGTGGAAGAGATATACCCCAACACATCGTCCGCAAACCGTGTGTGATCTTCCCTTACTCTTCCTTGTCGTACCCAACCACGTAAACCAATAGGTTACAGCCTAATTCATTCATTTAAATGTACATAATGTTCATAATCTTGTAACGTTCCTTCAGTTGAAATTTTTTGGTGAATTTGTTCACTGCACCGATGAGGCTTTTGTGTGAAGACAGTTCAGAGAGCGGAGTACGAGGGGAGATCATCTCTCGTAGAGTCTCTGTGCGCCCTCGTTGTGAATGAGCCGCCCTGTGCAGCCTCGCAAGCACCTGTCACCCTCTCATTCATTCGCCCTGGGCGTGGCAGAGGAGAGGCGGTCGCCTCTGCGACCCTCCGCCTGAGTCCTTCACTCTCCCACCTCGACCCCTCACTCCCGAGATTCTTCACTCCTCCGTTCGCTTTACCAGCGACTCATCCCCTCGCTCTCATCTCCATTCTTCCCTTCCCCTTCGCTGTCCCCCCAACCCCTCTTTAGCCACACTGCCTATCCTCTTCTCCATTTACGACTCCGCCCCCGTCTCCACATCCACTGCAGCCTCAGCGTCTTGGCAATTCTAACCGCACCTGCACCTCGCTCCGCCTGCGCTCCACCCTAGTCCTTTGCATACCTGCACCTTTTCCCCTTCGTGATGGTCGCGTACGTCTTCATCTGATACAACCCCGCGTCACTCTTTCTGCCCCACTGCCTCTTCCCCTACCCTCCGTCATTTGAGAGTTATTCGCCATCGCACCATATACAACATTCCACTTCCGTGTGTTTTGCTTATCCTCCTACATTGCCCACCTCTCACGTCTTGTCTCAACTCGACGGGCTCCCCCGCTTCCCTTGACAGCTTCTCCGTCTTCGCCCGCCTTAACCCCCGAACTTGGGTCCCAGCCTTTCCTCTCTCCCCGCACTCCCTCCACTCACAGCCCCTGGTTCCGCGTAGGACGCGGCGGTCGGTCGCAATTACACGGTCAACACTCGTCTCCCCCCTCCTTCACCCCCCCCCACGCCACTATTCTGAGCGCCGTTTTGCCCGAATCCTGGAGAGGCCGGGCCTACCGCGAGGGGCGCCCGTAAACTGAGCTGCATTTTAGGCCCACCTCCGGACCCCCGCCCCCCGGGGCGGGGGCGGGGCG